GCTTTTCATGTTACTGTGTGACAACTGCCCCATGTTGCACTCCATTTGCATAATCATAATCACAGGTACATTCAAGGTCCCACAACCTTTTATATTCTTGGAACTGCATCATACTGACCAGTTTACAGAGTGAGTCAAAGGGAAGTTTTCAGTTTAGAATTACCTACTGAATATGGCAAGTCCTCTCTGTCTCATCACAGTCCTCAGGGTCAAATACATTGTCCTTTATTTTAAGTCCCCATGGGTAAATCTCCCAGATCATCATGTGCATTGGGGAACCTTAGGAAACATAAGCTCTGGCCTGGGCACCTGGCTCACAGTTGAAATCTCAGCACTCTGAGAGGTCAAGGTGGGCAGATCACTGGAGGTCAGGGGTTTGAGACCAGGCTGGGCAACATGGTGAAACTCCATCTCCACCAAAAAATACAAAAATTAGCCAGGCATGGTGGTGCATGCCTTTAGACCCCAGCTACTCGGGAGGCTGAGGCAGGAGAATTGCTTGAACCTGGGAGGCAGAGCTTTAAGTGAGCCCAGATCATGCCATTGCAATCCAGCCTGGGTGACAGAGCGAGACTCTGTCTTAAAAACTAAAGGAAAGGAAAGATAGACTCTGAATGAATACTCTTCAGGACACTAAGGGGTAAAGCCTTCCATTTCTTCACAACAGGGGGTTCTCTGAATTGTGACACTTTCCCGCTAGCATGCTGTGCTAAATTCCATGGTCTTCATCATGACAGCAAGAATATGCTTTGCCATGAAATCGGCATCACCAGATAAACAAACCAACTCTTCCAACATCCACAATCTTACCAAAATACAGGGCATTAAAAAACAGCTCTGACTGAAGAAGAGTGAGTTTCCAGAGCCCAGTGAATCCTGGTGAATTATTAGGTTGGTGCAAAAGTAATTGGCATTTTTGCCATTGAAGCATTGCAAAACCACAATTACTCTTGTACCAACCTAATACTAAGACTCTGGGATCACATAAGTGCTTCTCATTCCTCATTATAGATGATTATGGCAACCTAAGTGTATTTGAAGAGTAATTGTGCTAACATCAAAAAAGTGAGCAACCCCAGTAAAACTACTCATCAGGATGAGCTGCCATGTTTCCATATTCCTGCCCTTTTAGCCTCTGCATGAACTCTTTCATATTGGGCCCCACCCACAAACGTAGGAAACAGTCCCTTTCCATAATTTCCTTCATGGGGTCCCCAGTACTCTACACACCCAGGTTTGGCCAACCATGCCTATTTCTATACTTGCCCCAGAGTGTCTTGAGCGTCTATAACTGACTATTCATAAACCACAATGGGAATTTCTTTGTGCCCAACTGGACACATTGTGGGGATCCTCAGGCATGGGTTTTTCTTCTTTTAGACTCCACAAATGCAGGGAAATTGAACTTGAATACAGATAGCAGGAACTGGAAACTTGAATACATGTAACAGCACGGGAAGAGGAACTCAGCTATGAGCAGAAAGAAGGTGGCTTGTAGTGTAGTTGTGCAGTTGTGACTGGCTCCCTCAGATGTACCTGCGGTCCAAGAATATTTGATGTGTTTCCTTACCCGTTACCTTCCCCTTTTTGCTGTCCCTTGCTGCTTCTTTCTTTTCTTTGTTCCCTCACCTTATTGTGTGCTCTCTTCTTTGATCTGTACCTCTGCTTTCTGCTCCTACTATTTTTTTTTTTTGAGGCAGAGCCTCGCACTGTTGCCCACACTGCTGTGCAGTGGCATGATCTCTGCTCACTGCAACCTCTGCCTACTGGGCTCAAGCAATTCTCCTGCCTCAGCCTCCTGAGTAGCTGGGATTACAGATGCTGGCCACCATGCCTGGCTAATTTTTGTAATTTTTTTGTAAAGACAAGGTTTCACCATGTTGGTCAGGCTGGTCTCGAACTCCTGACCCCAAGTGATCTGCACACCTCAGCCTCCCAAAGTGCTAGGATTACAGGTGTGAGCCACCACACCCAGCCTCTGCACCATTGTTTGGTTCCCTGTCCCATCATGCTTCTTCATAATGTTTCTTGCTTCTTCTGTCTCTACCTCACCATGTTTCTTGTCTTTGATTCTTTGCTATTATCTTTTTCAAATTGGGCTAAAAACAGAAACTGACAGAAGAGGAATGATGATCTTAGCTGCATATATTGCACTCTTCAAATAGACTTCACAGTGAAAGGGTTGGATCCTTTCCTAGATACATAGTTTTTTGAACGGGACAAACCTTGACTTGAATTCAAGTGCAAAAACCGGACAAAAGTAGCATCTGCCTCCATGTGAGACTAATCAATGAAAACAGAAGTACAAATAAATACCCTTCTGTACTTGACTTTAATTTTACTCAACAGGAGCTGGCTCCATTCCTAAGCCTGCCACCCCGATAAGCCAATCAATTTCTCTAAATGTTAAAAATCCTCAGGTCTGCTGATGGATCCTGGGTTTCTTTTTAAGGTGATGAAATTATTAAATTAGATAGACATGGTAGTTGCAAAGTTTGTAAATCTACTAAGCACCATTGAATTTTATACATTACAAGGATGCATCTTATGGTATCTGAGTTGTATTTTAATTTTTGAAGCATTTGTGAGAGCTTAAGCTAGCGCTGTGCTAAAGAACAATTCAGGTTGAAATAAATATCAACAACTGAATAAGTTACAGTGTACTACTGGTGTGATTAAAGCTTTTCTAGCATATATTAAGGACTATTGAAGTATCAGAAGAAGCAACTTGTTCCTGCTTTTGCATTTATCTGTGGACTTTAGAGTAAGTGAATTAATGTTCAGACAATCTTTGTAAGGCAATTAAAAAGGAAGACCTTCCCCAAAAGAAAGATGAGGCCAGTAACATTATATTTAACTACTTTCATTGTCACTGGATTGTCCTAGAAAATAGTAAATTAGTTAATTGTTTAAATATCATAAATGATCCTTGATTTCTTTTTGTTATTTAGTTTTTGCTTCATAATCATAAATGTCACTCTGCAATCCAGCCAGGTGCAGAAGGGAACAAGAAAAACATGGAACCTAAAGGGAAGTATATAGCAAGAGCACAAAGATGATAGGATACAGAGAGCAAATGGGGTGGAGGGTGCTCTCCTGAGCTACGGAAGGAATGGTCTGGTGGTGAAGACAGACACAAATCAAACTTACTAGACTTGTCCACAGTTAGCAATGGTGATCTTGCTGGTCTTGCCATTCCTGGACCCAAAACGCTCCATGGCCTCCATAATCGTCAGGCCTTCTTTCACCTTGCCAGAGACCACATGCTGGCCATCCAACCACTCAGTCTGGGCAGTGCAGATGAAAAACTGAAAACCAGTTTGTGTTGGGTCCAGCATTTGCCACAGACAAGATGCGAGGACCCGTATGCTTCAGGATGAATTTCTCACCACCAAATTTCTCCCTGTAGATGGACTTGCCAACAGTGCCATTATGGTGTGTGAAGTCACCACCCTAACATACAAACCCTGGAATAATTCTGTGAAAGCAGGAACCCTTATAACCAAATTCTTTCCAGTGTTTGGAGCATGAAAGTTTTCTGCTGTCTTTGGAAACTTGTCTGCAAACAGCTAAAAGGAGAAGCAGCCCAAGGACTCTCCAATGATGGAAATATTGAAGTTGACCATGATTGTTACTACGGGGCTCCCGGTGGCAGTGGTATCTGAAAAGCTGATTTTTTTTTTTTTTAATGAAGTATAGATATGGTTGTTTAACCCGAGGGATTGTAAACCTCAGATTACTAGAGCTAGCATCAAGCTGCCAGTGGGATTCATTTTATAGGTTGGAAAGCAGGTTAGAAGAGAGATGTGACAGACCTGAGGTTACCCAGATAATCAGGTACTAAGTTAACGATCTACAAAGAGCCAGTCCTGGGCTTGTGTCTCCCTGGAAATCCAGGATTTTTTGTTTTGTTTTTTGTCTTTAGGAGTTTCGCTCTTGTTGCCTAGGCTGGGGTGCAGTGGAGCGATCTCAGCTCACTGCAACCTCTAACTCCCAAGTTCAAGTAATCCTCCTGCCTCAGCCTCCCAAGTAGCTAGAATTACAGGCATACAGCACCACATCTGGCTAATTATGTATTTTTAGTAGAGATAGGGTTTCACCATGTTGTCCAGGCTGGTCTTGAACTCCTGACCTAAAGTGATCCACAAAGTGCTGTAATTACAGGTAGGAGCCACTGCGCCTGGCCTCAGGCCTTTGTTTTTATTCCTATATCAAAGGCGATTTTAGGGGTACCCTGTGGAAAGTGTAAACTGAAGAAGGCACTTGGGAGCCAGTGAGGGCTCTATGCAGGGCTCAAAGTAGGACAACACTTACTTTGCTTATATAAAGATGATTGTCCTCTTCAAAAATGTCTAGTATTGGCAGAAAAAAATTATTTTTTCATTAGAGTCACATGCTTCAAATATTTGGGTGACTTTAGAATCTAGAGTCTTTCTGGGATCAACTCACCTGCCTGGTGAATATCAAGAATTAGGGATCATTGTGACATCAGCAGATTCTTCAACAAGACTTTCTTCTCAGCTCACCTCACCTCCATGCCACCCATCCAAATCTGTAACACTCCCAAGAGTCTTATGGTTTATTTCACTCTTCTCTTCATTAAAACCCATTAGAATAAAATAGTCTACTTTGAAAACTATTTTATAAAAGGCTTAAATGTGGTATTTCCTGATTCCTACTAGAATTTTCTTCATTACAATAAAGGTTATTTGACAGCCCCAAATCATGAATCTCCACTGGCTAAAGTGGTGCATTAAATAATTTAGTACAACGGAGAGTTATCTGCCTCTCACGTCAGTGGAGGCTGTGCTATACTTTTAGTAGCAGTAATAATAAGTGATACTGAAGCTGTGTCCCAAAGATTTAAAAAAAAAAAAACCCACTGAGTAAATTCTTGGGCTTACAGAATAGCAGACAAGAAAAGTTAAAAAGCCGAAACCGATACTGTCCTAAAAAGTAAGAAACCAGGAACTAATAGAAATTCTTGCGTTTGCAGGATAGCTGATAAGAAAAGAAACAACTTTCTGGAAGGCTGAAACTCCCTACACTTGTGAGATCAAGAAAAAACTGGCTGAAATCGGTTGGAACCAAGTTGGCGGATTGGAGTTTGTGCAGCATGAGCCTGCTGATGTCACAGCCTGAATTTCCACTCAATGTTTCATACTAACTGCTTCTGAATTTGCACATGAAACCCATGAGGTAGCATGAAGAGGTAAGTGTGCATGTCCCAGGACTTCGCAGTCCTCCTTTTTCCTTCCACCAATCCACCTGCTAATTTCAGAATCTACCCCTGAACCTTTTCTAAGAAAAATTCTGACTTGAAGCTAGCACAGGGAGACAGATTTGATCTTGACTTCTGTATCCTTGTGAGTCAACCTGCAACATGAAGATTTTCTTTTCTCAAAAACATGGTGTCATAGCATTGGCTTCCAGTACATTAGGCCGTGTATCAGTCTGTTTTCATGCTCTGATAAAGACATATCTGATACTGGGTAATTTATACAGAAAAAGAGGTTTAATGGACTCAGAGTTCCACATGGCTGGGGAGGCCTCACAATCATGCTGGAAGGTGAGAAGGAGGTCTTACATGGCAGCAGGGAAGAGAGAAAATGAGAACCAAGTGAAAGGGTTTTCTCCTAATAAGACCATCAGATCTCGTGAGACTTATTCACCACCATGAGAACAGCATGGGGGTAACCTCCCCCATGATTCAGTGATTGTCTACTGGGTCTCTCCCACAGCACATGGGAATTATGGGAGCTACAATTCAAGATGAGCTTTGGGCAGGGATACAGCCAAACCATATCAGGGAGTGCTCCCCTTTTGCTCAGTAACAATATTCAGCACCAGCAGTGTGTTAAGCATTGGACTAAAACTTCATATTGGTAAATTTAATTCTTAGTCTTTTGTGCTCCTATAACAAAACATCACAGACAAGGTAATCGATAGTGGAGAGAGTTTTCTTTTCTCATAGTTCTGGAGGCTGGGAATTTCAAGATCAAGGGGCGGGCATCTGGTGAAGGCTATCTTGCTGGATCATCCCGTGGTGGAAGGTGGGAGGCCAAGAGGGAAAGAGAGAGAGACGGGGGCTGAACTTTCTCTTTTATAATGAACCCACTCTCTCCATAATGGCATTCATTCATTCATGAGGGCAAAGCCTTCATGATGTAACCACTTCTTAAAGGCCCAAAGTTGTATACCATTATAATGGTAATTACACTTCAACATAAGTTTTCAAACCATAGCATTAGTTTTTACAATCACCCTATGAAGTGATACATATTGAACATTTTCTACTAAGAAGTACATGAATGCCCACAGAGTTCAAGTAATTTTCTCAAGGTCCTATAATTAGAAAAATGTGCAGGACGATTTCTGTTTATATGTTCATACTACATGGAATTAAGAATATGGTGCTTGATGTTAGCAACGTTGGGGCTTTATGAATTTTCATGAAAAGTAATTGTTCTCTTGACCTCGGGACACATGTGTTAACATTTTCTCATTATTGGACCACTGTAAAGAGTGGACGTGGAAAAAGTTTTAGCTGTGTTATGCTGAGTCAGTGTGACCATAAGTTAATTCTTTTTTTTTTTTTTTTTGAGACGGAGTTTCGCTATTGTTACCCAGGCTGGAGTGCAATGGTGCGATCTCGGCTCACCGCAACCTCCGCCACCTGGGTTCAGGCAATTCTCCTGCCTCAGCCTCCCCAGTAGCTGGGATTACAGGCATGCGCCACCATGCCCAGCTAATTTTTAAAAATATTTTTAGTAGAGACGGGGTTTCACCATGTTGACCAGGATGGTCTCGATCTTTTGACCTCTTGATCCACTCTCCTCGGCCTCCCAAAAGTGCTGGGATTACAGGCTTGAGCCACCGCGCCCGGCCCAAGTTAATTCTTAAGGTAGTGGTATGACAATAGATAGGATGATGTCAGCAGAATATTTTAAACCATGACTGTCCGGCTGGCTCCAGGTTACATGAGCCTCTGTGGTTAGTGCCATGGGGTGGCTAAACACACATCCCAGGGCTTTCAAGGAATCCAGGGCTAGCCTCCACCCACTCTACAGGCAAAACACCCCCCCCCCGCCCCCCCGTTCTTCCAATCTGATATACTCTTCTGCTGGTATAACTTGATATTCAAGGGCTTCCTGCAGCAGCTCAGCATCCCTGAAATAAGTGAGTTTTGTCAGTGCTGGGAGGTGTGTGCCAGGGTCTGGTGCCCAGAGAACAGCCTCCCCACTCACTGGCCCATTTCCTAAAACCCACTATGGCGGTTAAAATTCTTAGTTGAAAGTAGGAGAGACCAACTCTGGCCAGCTCATTGAAAACGTGGCTATGAGTACTAAACACTGGGGTCTATTGGGGGGAAAAGGGGAGGGCCAGTGGGAGGGGGAGGTGGGGAGGGATAGCCTGGGGAGAAATGCCAAATGTGGGTGAAGGGGAGAAGAAAAGCAAAGCACACTGCCATGTGTGTACCTACGCAACTATCTTGCATGCTCTGCTCATGTACCCCAAAACCTATAATCCAATAAAAAATTAAAAAATATATATATAAAAAAAAAAAAAAAAAAGAAAACGTGGCTATGAAATCAGTTAATTTCACAGCAGGCAGGATGGAAAGCGACTGAACACCAGGAAAAATGGAAGCAGAAACCGAAAAGAAAGATCACAAGAACGCTTTCTCTGCCCTCTGCCTGTACTTCTCTGTGAACATCTTTGTTATGTAGAATCTCTGAATCTCTCTGTTCCTCTCTCTTTGTATCTTTGTTGCTTGTTTCTCAGCTTCCAGCTTTTCCTGTTTCTGTATAAACATCCTGGCCACACAGAGCTCTTAAATTCTCATGTTTATTGTTCAGCCACACAGGGAAATCTGACTTATTGGCCCCAATTCCAAGTTCTTCAGCAAATATCTGATGCACTCAGTTCTGGGACTCACTTCCTACCCTCATCTGTGAGCAGAGTGGGATCACACCATAGGAATGTGGCCCACGGGAACCTGCTCCTACTGCGTGTGGGAGAGCCGCTTTAGGAAGGGGGCACCAAACTGAGTTGGGCAAAGCCACGGCAGCCAGGGAGAAGGCTCTCTTTCTATTTTTTCCTGGAGGTTCCTTTTCTACTTTACTGAGGACAGTAAGGGGTAGGGGGTGGTGTTTGAGGTCCCATCTGGGTGGCACTGCCAGGCTCCTGTAGACAGTCTCCATAAGATTCATCTCTCTGGGTTGGGGAGAACTATAGCTGGAAGGGGCATGTGAGCTATGATTTCCTTTCATGTCTTTCTCCTCTTCCTCTATCAGGAAAGTATTTCTCTCTTTCTCTTTCAGGAAAACCTCCTCCCTCACCCATGTGGCCCTTTTGGTGAATGAATCTCCTGGGCCCACCCTTTCCTGGACATGTGCATAGAAGGCCTGAACCCCCAGTGCAATCAAAGTGCCCCAGCCAGTGGCCCACAGCAGACCAACGAGAATCCTTCGGCCTCATTGGAAAAAAAAAATCCTTTTTTTTTTTTGAGACAAAGTCTTGCTCTTGTCCTCCAGACTGGAGTGCAATAGCATTATCTTGTCTTGCTGCAACCTCCACATCCCAGATTCAAGCAATTCTCCTGCCTCAGCCTCCTGAGCTGGGGTTACAGGAACCCACCACCATGCACGGCTAATTTTTATATTTTAAGGAGAGATGGGGTTTCACCATGTTGGCCAGGCTGGTCTTGAACTCCTGACTTCAGGTGATCCGCCCGCCTCAGCCTCCCAAAGTGCTGGGATTACAGGCATGACCAGAGCAGCAAAAGGCTACTTCTTTTCAGTGGGATTGCTGAGCTGTTAGGTGGGAGCCTGGGGGTCTAAAACTCCCATGACCTGCCAAAGAGAGGGAGCCTGTGGGAGGAATGATACCAGAAGGAAGTCAAGGAAAGCTGTGAGATGGAGAGACAGACCACGAGCCCTAAAGCCAGCTCTGAAGCCAGAAGCAGTTCTGTATTCTCCAATCATGAGAGTTATAAATCCTTTTTTTTGCTTATAAAGAAAGCAAACTTGTAACCTAATATACTGGCACATATGCCTCAACTCAAAACAGGCTCTGAGGGCTCCCACAGCTCCATTTAATTATTTCCTTAATGACAGATTATTTTATTTGTAAAATCTTCAAAGGAAGACATCTAATCAGCAGCAGAGCTCTAGAATATAATATCACAATTCATCATAGCCTTGATAGCTGTTGCTATGATTAGTAACATTTGGTATTGCATCATGAAATAATCCATAGGTTTAGAAATATTGTCTTGTTATTATGTTTTCTTTTAGTTGAAAATTTTAGGAAAAGAGTATGAAATAATTTTTACAAGGGCAAATTGCCTAATTTAAAAAGAAAGTCCACTAAATTTTTTCCAAGGCCAATATTAGGCAGTCCTGCAAAGCTAGATAAAATATATTTAGCTACAATGACTTCATCATACTGTATATTAAACTGGTTTTTAGTCTATAGTTTGCCTGTAATTGCATTATATCCTATATATATATTTAAATACCCTATTATGTATCTAACATTGGCTCTTGTATATGAATTTAACTATTAGAGCGGTATCAAAGCAGTTAGCAACTTGCAATGTTATGCAAAGACCTTAATTTTTCACTGTCTGAGGGTTTAGAAATATTATGTTTTGCTTTTCTAGTCATAATGGGGCTGCTCTCCCTTATGTAGATAAGGCTGCATCAGCACTTTTTAATATAACCTGTTAATTTCACGGGAATTTATAAGCTGCCGGTAATCCATATCCTCAGAATTGGGAAACATCTGCGTCTTTTGAGATAGAAATGTCTTTTCCTTAATTTTCTTCTTTAATTTTCCTCCTCAAACATGGAATGCTATTCTTTCAGGTGCCGCGTGTGTCTTTAACAACGCACAGCCTTCTTTAGCTGCATTTAGTGATCACTATCTCCAGCTGCTCAGCCGTAACCATGTTTTCATTTTTTATTTTTAAGGGTGACTGAGAGCCTCTCATAAGATGTGCACCTGAATATCAGTCTGAATCACTGATGCCCTCTTTGGGACCAGGGAGGACTCTATACTGCAGGGGGCACTAGCACTCTTCATTTCTCTAAGCCCATGAGCAAGTCAAGCCTCAGGTAAAGTCTGCAAAGTAAACTCCATATAACTTTGGACCCTAGCTCCACGTTGTTATTGCTCTTTCCCCCCACATGCCCACCTAAGCATAGTGGGAAGGTGGCTTTGTTTGGTTGTTTGGAAATTGATAAATGGGACCCAAAATTGAGGAGAAAGAGGCATCATAGATTAAACAAACTAACAAACAAACAAAAAACCAAACCAAAACAAAAAAACTAAGGTTATATGCCCAGAAAGTCTGAAAACCGTTTTTTCTCCCTCAGTCATCATCCCATTCTCATTCCCTGCCAATCCTATATAAACAGAAGATTAGAAAGAAAACTTGGGCTACCCTGTGGCTTTTCCCACTGTGATTTCCACCTAGGCACCAACAGTTTAGAGAATCTCCAAGAACTTTATAAAGACTGGGGGGCTCACAGAGGGTAGGATGCTTTCGAAATATAAATAGAAATTTTCATGTGCCATAAGGATGTCTATTTTTCTAGGGAACTAACTTCAAGAGTGGGAAAGAGAACTTGAGACAGGAAGCAGAAAGGAAGGAAAATGGAATGCAGTGGTACCCATCATTTTGAGGGTATGCATGTGTCACATGAATCAAGAGAAGTTACTGAAGAGGAGGTGGTCTTCATTCTTCTTGCAGGCTTCATCTTACAAATATCAATTGTTCTTATAAAGCCGCATAAACGACAGTAATTCCAAGTAGGTTCTAGGTCTATATGGGAAAGATAATACAGTAAAGATCTGTAAATAACTTAGGAGAATATCTTTATGATATCCTGGTTGACAATTTTTTCAACAGGACACATCCACGCACTCACAATTTATATACCAACATTATACAGTGACAGGTGTTTTTACATAATTTAACTCTGTTCACACCATTTCATGTTTAAGAATAATGCCCCACTTCTGAATCTTAGAAAATTAAATTTCAACATATCACTGGCCACTGACTTTCCAAACCCAGTGGGTACATGATGAAGGTGACTTTTTAAAGGGAAAGTAAGAAAGCTGGTTAGAGCTTTCATGTGGATCAAAGCTCAACTCAAGCCAACCTTTAGGTGGACCTCAAGAATTTTTGTAGTTAAAATCTAGACTCCTTTTAAAGAGGAGCATTAGATATACTGAAATTAAGAAAAAGGCAACTCTAATATTTTTTAAGAATATAACACAGCAGGAAATGAGTTAGCTGATTTACATGCACTGCTTTTCTTAACCCATACGATAGTTCTATATGGCAAATATAATTATGCTCATTTTTTTTTTAGACGGAGTTTTGCTCTTGTTACCCAGGCTGGAGTGCAATGGCGCGATCTTGGCTCACCGCAACCTCCGCCTCCTGGGTTCAGGCAATTCTCCTGCCTCAGCCTCCTGAGTAGCTGGGATTACAGGCACGTGCCACCATGCCCAGCTAATTTTTTGTATTTTTAGTAGAGACGGGGTTTCACCATGTTGACCAGGATGGTCTCGATCCCTTGACCTCGTGATCCACCCGCCTCGGCCTCCCAAAGTGCGAAGAAGCTGACTGACAGGGTAGTTGAGCAACCTATTAAACATCACACAGCTAGGTCATAGCGGAGCCAGGGCTGGGATCCAGACAGTCATCTTCTTTGACTGTCTATAAACTCCTATCAAGGGGAGAAGTTACTTGGCCTGGAAATTTTTCATAGCATATGCTATCCACTATTGGCCTCCACTGTAGGAAAATCTTGCTTTTCCTTCCATGGAACACAGGGCTTCCATGTGCCTTCTTTTTAACATAACTTCTGTGAGATATTTTTTAAGTAAACTGAGAGATATTTAGAATTAGATTCATATAGCTTTTGGAAATTTTTTGCTGAATGATTTCAAATAGCGTATCTAACTCTGGAATTACAGAGCTTTTCCATGTTTCATGGAAAGGAGAAGGGGCACCTCTTTGTTACTGAAGTTGAGAAATGGAAGTCAGAACTCCACTCACAGTATCCATAGCTGTATTAGTCAGGGTTCTCTAGAGAAACAGAACAATAGGGAACAGAACCAACAGAACTAACAGAACCAAGTTCTATTCTAAGCAATAGAATAGCATATATCCTATCATACATATGTATATATAGAGAGACATTATATATAGAGGTATATACATACAAAGATATTTTACACATATACAGATTTCTCTCTTTCTGTAAAAAAGAGCAATGGGCTCAAACAATTTTGGGGACTGGCAGGTTGGAATTTGCAGGGCAAATTCCAGGGGGATTACCCAGTAATGGTGTTTGCTTTGGCATTGTAACCTGGCCTTATAATCTTTCTCTACAAGTGTGCTGACTCAGAGCCTAGGAGAGTTAATATTGTAGTCTCCATTCTGAAGGCATCATTCCTTTTTTCTTGGGAGACCTCAACGGATTGGGTGAGGCCCATTCACGTTATGAAGAATAGTCTGCTTTACTCAGCCTATGGGTTTAAATGTTAATCACATTAAAAGAAGTATCTTCACAGCAACATCTGGACTGGTGTTTGATCAAACATTAGGCACCATAACCTAGCCAAGTTTACACATAAAATTAACCATCACAATGGCCATACGTCCCTCAAAAAGGGGAGATGTGTTACTTGTCACCTTATTACTCAAGGTTAAGGATGGAATCCAGACTCTGCCCATGGTCTCAAGGTTACCCACCAGAGCGGGAGGCAGGGAAGTGGTGGAGGTTGAAGCTTGCCCACAATCTTAGCAGACACCATTTCAGTGGAGAAAGGATAATATGTCCCCTTGTTACTACAAGAGAGATGCAATTCAGGGCTCTGTCCACAGTTCCCATGCCGATTACAACATCTGGAGGGAAAAAGGGTGGTGTGATTTTATTCATGGTGATCCCCTGAGTATATAGCCTTGTGAAGGATATACTCTTTGATAGCTTGACACTTTCCTGTTCCTTTTGCTAGAGAAAAAGGCTTTTCCTGGGCCTTTTGGTCTGTGTGCATTGCCATTTCCTGGTTGTGGGTTTCTCCAATGCCCAGTCCAGGTTGCGTAGGAGTACGGTGTGGGGGAAGAAATTGGAAATAACCTCCCTACCATTTCTTGAGTTCCAAGGTCTCTAGCCATAGCAATTTATTTTTTACACTTCTCCAAGTGTTTGTATTTGTTTTGATTCTTTTCCCAAGGGTTTTGACTGTAATTAGTGGTACAATTACACTGAAATGCATTTTCTCCATCTTATTTGAAAACGTAAATTAGAAGTAGGTGCCCTGAAGACATCTTTTATCAAGTTGAGGAAGTTCCCCTTTATGATTAGTTTTATAACTTTTTAAAGAAATCATGAATAAATGTTGATTTTCAAATACTATTTTTTATATTTGCACATAAATTTATTCTTATTCTGAATATATCCATACTTCCTAGTGGTAAGACATAATCTCTTGGTTGGTAAGGGGCTTTTTCTCATGTGAAGCCCCTCCCGGAACTCTGATGGGCTAGAATTTGCACTCCTTTGGTCCCTCAAGTTCAGTGATGATTCGCTTGAGTTAATCTCTTTGGTCTTAACGGGACCTGTTTCAAAATCATGAGTGGACCCGTAATGATCCATAACTTGTGTTCACTTTTTTTGGACAGCAATGGCATGCCCTTCATAGAGCCCTCAGACTCGCCATTACTGACCAGATGTCACCTATATTACCAACAGCACATAATGTATAGCATCATAGACCCCACTGGTAATTGTTAGAATTCATTTAGGGTGGTGGCAAAAATATTAAAAATAGTACAGAAATTTATAGAATATAGTTTCAAACCCTTTTGGAAGCCCTAAGGGTTTTTCTATAGTTCGTGGCTGAAGGCAGCCAGAGTCTCTTTGCAGGAGCCAGAGAGGTGCAAATACAAAGGAATGTGAGTAGTTTACCTAGCTTGCTTGTTTATTCATGTGGTTGTAAAACTAACCTTTGAGCTGCATGGGGAGGTCGACCAGGGGATTACCCAGTAATGGTGTTTGCTTTGGCATTGTAACCTGGCCTTATAATCTTTCTCTACAAGTGTGCTGACTTAGAGCCTCTGTTATTAAAACTGTACTGCAAAAGTGGGGAGGGGGTGAACTAGTCAGTGTTGTATAGCTGTGATCTCTCTCTGTGAGTAGCTTACGACCCTCTAGCCCACTGTTTACTGTAAATTTGTGTCTGGGTGCTTTTATTCATCTGTTATGCAGCTGGGGTCTGTGAGACGGGCCCCAGCTGTAATATTAGAGAATCCAAATCACGGACTCCAGGAAACCAACATCAATGAGATTACTAATTCCACATCAATAATACTTGAAAATTCACATCATTAAGGCCATAGCTCTTCTATACTCCACAATTCATTCCATAAACTCCTTACTAAGCTTACAGATTTCATGTTGTTGAATCTTTAGGCGCCTTTTAATGGAATCACAGACTTCTACGTCTAGGCTTATGGTTCCCTTCTTTTTGACTGATACATGCATGCCCTTCTACGGATGTAGCAGACCACCTTCCATAGTGTCACTGTGCCATTCATGTGTTCAACCTCATAGACTCTGGCCTTTATACTTCCATGGATACAAGGACATTGTAACTTAAATAAATTCAGATCTATGTTTGTGATAATATATGGGAACAAGGGATAGTTATAACAAGGCAGCAATGTTGTGGTGTCAAATACACGAATTAAGCACATCCAGATCACCTAAAATGGTACAAATAGTCTGATTCCTAGCATTCGTTTTCCATGTTCACTTTCCTAGCAAGGTATAGAAACTATATGTTGTAGAAACCCCCAAATTCCCCTCTGCCTGCGACATCAAAAACTGAGCTCACAGTATGTGCCAGAGAAGAGTTTGAAACATACTTAGAAGAAAACATAAAAATTGCCAATTACATTATATTTCAACAGATATATTATATATGCCAAGTATCATGAAGGCCAAGACATCTCTATCTTCCATCATTAACAATATGAATTGGTATCTCAAAAGAAAATGTAATTTGAGTCATGTTTTTAGTAAATATCCTGAAAGATCTAAAGGCAAGTCCCCTAAAGGACACTCCCTTAATCACATTTTTAGGTGACTGTTTGCACTGAGTTAGTGGTTTCTAAATAAGAAAATTTATCCAAAAATGAGGATAAATATGTAATTGTCATCATTTAATTTACTGCATTTAAGTTAGTGGTTATGGTCATATAAATTTGTATATTATAACAGGCTTACAAAGGCGTTGTAATTTAAATATAATGCATGATATTATACATGTAAGCAAATTTCACTTTGAAAGGCAAAAAGCCAGTATATTTCTGAAGTATACTTTGTATACCATTGAAAAGAAAAAGAACCAGAGTACTAATTAGTTGAATGTTAATAAAGGAAAGAAATGATAAAAAATAAATGTGGGAGTGAGACAGGACATCCAGGTTGGCAGTGTGAGGAGGCTGACAAATCATCCTGCCCAAATCCATGATAAAACTGGGCAAAGCTGACAAAAACAATCCCTTAAAATCTATGGAAATTGATCAAATGCACACAGCTGAGAAGTTCTTATCCAGACAATCTAATGCATCTTTGTTAGAGTAGTGAGTTTTGAGGCATTTTACTCTTGGCATGCTCCCATTTTCTTCTAGCTCTGTGGCATGGAATTTCTACCTGGGCATTCAAGGCAGGCTGGGGACACTATGCTTTGCTGCTCTGCTGGAAGGGCTGATTTCCCACAGAGTGCAGAGAAATCTATGCCAGGGGCAATTTTTTAAAGCCATCGTGATCTCAGTGGAAGGCTGACACTGCAGCTAGCCTGAGGTTGCAATGCTAATTGGATTAATACACAAAATGACAGAGCAAGCACACACTACAGAGGAAACAGACTCCACAGAATTAACCCAGAAAAATCACTAAACAAACAAAAAAAGGAAAACAGCAACCAGTCCAGGCACGGTGGCTCACACCTGTAATCCCAACACTTTGGGAGGTGCAAATGGATCAGCTGAGGTCCAGGAGTTTGAGACCTGCCTGGCCAACATGGTGAAACTCTGTCTCTATTAAAAATACAAAGAATTAGCTGGGCATGGTGGCGGGCACCTGTAATCCCAGCTACCTGGAAGGCTGAGGCAGGAGAATCACTTAAACCTGTGAGGCAGAGGTTGCAGAGAGCTGAGACTGCGCCATTGCACTCCATTCTGGGCAAGAAGACTGAAACTCAGTCTCAAAACAAACAAACAGACAAACAAATAAACAAGCTGGGTGGGGGTAACAGGGCGCAAAGTTACTAGAACCTATAATATAAAATACCAAACTTTGCACAATACATATAAAGAAATAGGAAAGTGTAACTCATACAGAAGATTAAAAAATCTATCAATAGAAACTCTTTCCAGAGCCTGGTGTGGGGCGAGCTGAGGCATTGTATGTAGTAAGAATGGACTTGAAAACAACTATTATAAATATCTTCAAAGAACTAATAGAAATGATGCTTAAAGAATTAAAGAAAGCACCGTGACCATGACACATAAGGTAGATAATATCAATAAGGAAGTGCAACGTATAAGCATGAGTCAAATGTAGATGCTGCAGATGAAAAATACAAAGACTGAAATGACCAGTTTACTAGAGGGACCCAACAGCAGGTTTGAGCTGGTAGAAGAAAGAACCCATCTTTAGGCCGGGCGCGGTGACTCAAGCCTGTAATCCCAGCACTTTGGGAGGCCGAGGAGGGTGGATCACGAGGTCAAGAGATAGAGACCATCCTGGTCAACATGGTGAAACCCCGTCTCTACTAAAAATACAAAAAGTTAGCTGGGCATGGTGGCGCGTACCTGTAATCCCAGCTACTCAGGAGGCTGAGGCAGGAGAATTGCCTGAACTCAGGGGGCGGAGGTTGCAGTGAGCCGAGATTGCGCCATTGCACTCCAGCCTGGGTAACAACAGCGAAACTCCGCCTCAAAAAAAAAAAAAAAAAAAAAAAAGAACCCAGAAACCCAAAGACAAATCAATAGAGATGAGCCAATTGGATGATGTAAAGAAAAGGTAACATAGATAAATAAAGATAACTTCAGAGACCAGTCAGGAACCATTAAGCCTACCAACATGAATTTAAGTCTATATCCAGAAGAGAGGGAGAGAAAAAAAATAAAGTAAAATAATATTAAAGAAACTTTGGCTAAAATTTTATTGAACTTCCAGGAAATTTAACAAATCCAAAGTAGGTACAACAAAGAGACTCACATCTAGACACATCAGGCAAGCTGATGCAAATCAAATGCAGAAATAAAATCTTGAAAGCAGCAAAAGGAAAATGTCTCATCATCTGTGAGTAAGCCACAGTAAGCTAATTAGCTAACTTATCATCAGAAACAATGGAGGGCAGAAGTCAACATAATGACACATCCAAAATGATGAAAGAGGAAAAAAAAAAAAAAACGCACTGTCAGCCAATAATTAGTTTTCTAGAATTCCACAGGCAATGCTATTGTGGGAGGATAATTTTTTCAACAAATGGAGAGCTGTTACCTGGTTTATGAAAAGACTGGCTTAGAAAAAGCAAAGAAAGGAAAATAATAAATTGGACTTTATCAGAATTCAAACTTGCACTTCAGTAGACATCGCCAAAAAATTAAAAAAATAAACCACTATGGGAGACAATGTTTCAAATCTCGTGCCTAATAAAAGATTTGTATCTAAAATAGAACAGATGCTTTAAATTCAGTGAAAGGCAAATAACCAAATATAAAATGGGCAAAGCATTTTAGTAGATATTTCCCCAAAGATAATATACTTATGATCCATAAGCAAATCAAAGGAT